AGAGCACGCGGCACTGCCAACAGCTTTCCCTTCTTTCTGATCGCCTGATCGATTTCCCTTCCTGTGGCGCCATTGCTCAAAAACACATGAATAAAAATCTGCAAAAACACTGCCTTGAGGTATCTGTGTTGCAATCAGGATTCTTTTGTGCCATGTTTTAAGGTGGCCAGGCATCCTCCTTTATGGAGGACAATCCTCGACCTGAAGCATATGTGGACAGTTCTCTCTTTGGAAAGTATTTCCTTTCTATTCAAAGGGCTGCTCAGTCCAAGGTTTCTCTAATGATGAAGAACCACCAAAAGGGAAATTGGGACCTTGACTTTGCCCTCCATAGTTAGTCCCTGGACTGAACCAGTCTCCAATGCTGTTTCTATTTAAATTATAATAATTACTTATCAAATTCCATCCGTGGGTATGTGTTTACACATGCACCCTGCATTGTTTTTATTAACAGAGCTATTTCTATGAATTGTTGTCAGCTGCCCAGGAGCTTTTGGGTATTGGGTGATATCAGATATGGAAGGAAGGAAGAAGGAAGGAAGGACAGAAGGATAGAAGGGAGGGAGGAGAAGGAGAGAGAGGGGGGAGAGAGAGACAGAAATCATCTTTGGTTCTCTTTTGATAAGGCATTTGTCCCTCTCCTTTGCTTCAATGCCCCCTTCCAAATCAGCCCCAACCTTCTCAGTCGAAGACTGTCAACCCAGCTCTCTCAAATACGGTCCAGAAGGACCAGACAGTCAGGGGCCGAGTTCCCCACCCGAGAGGAGAGCCAGTGCAGTTCTTTCTGTACCACCCGAATAGAGCCAGTGGAGGGCCAGAGCTGTGCCTCCCCCTTCCCCAAATCCCTCTTGCTCTGCAGCTCTTCTCTCTGCAGGTCTGGTCTCTCCCCTTCCACACAAGGTGAAGGTGTTCTGGTCTCTTCCCCTCACACAGCTCGCCATCTCAGCCCCAGCACATGGTGCAAAGTCACTTTGGAGGCCGCTTCAGCCCCCACCACTTCATGAAGCCGCTTAAGAAGACTGGATAAAATTAGCTGCACGGGCACCGGCAGCCCTCCCAGGCGTGTGGCAGCCCCGCAGCTGCCTCTGGGGCTCAGGGAAAAGAATTAATGGAAGCGCACTGCTCCTGCTGGCAGGAAATCTCCTGCACGAGTCTCTTCCTCTTTTTGTTGGGCGGCGCGTCTTTGCGACGGCGCCTGAAGACCTTCTGCCCAGTCTGACGAGTGCCGCAAGCCCGGCACAAAGACAGCTGGTCTGCACTCGCAGGCGCTCAGGAAGGATCCACACAATGCGCTTGGCCTGCCTGGAAGCCGCACGACATTCCAGATGTCGGGCCGCGTGCTGTGAAATCGTCTTGCAAACTCTGTCCTTTTGTGGAAGGCCCGAGCTTGGGGTGGACAGCTGTGTCCATTCTCAGGAATGTGCTACTCACAGAATCCTTGAATAGTAGAGTTGGAAGGGGCCATGAAGGCCATCAAGTCTAACCTGCTGCTCTTGCAGGACACCAAGTCACACCCTCCCACTCAGGTGGCTGCCCAGTTTCCCCTTGAATGCCTCCAGTGTGGGAGAGCCCCCCACCTCTCCAGGCAGCTGGCCCCACTGTCGTGTTGCTCTGGCAGTGAGGAAGCTTTTCCTGACGTCCAGCCTGAATTGGGGTTGTCGCAACTTGAATGGATTATTCTGCGTCCTGCACTCTGGCATCAGCTAGAAGAGATCTTGACCCTCCTCTCTGTGACAGCCTTTGGGATACTTATAGCAAGGGGCTGTATCTGATCTACCTTCCAGATTTGAAGTCCTGAAACGAAATTTGTAATTGATTGATTGAATATTGAACCATCCCTTCCCGCTATAAAACTTTAGCAGAATAATTTCTAGACAAAAGCTCCCCAGTTCAAAGAATCATAAAATCCTCGAATAGTAGAGTTGGAAGGGGCTATGAAGGCCACCAAGTCCAAGCCCTGCTGTTTACTAGAACATTTTTACAGTCACATTGCCTTGTAGCTTCAAAGTGCCAGTAAAGATTTGCATTGCAAAGAGACTGGTGTTTTGGAGCCTAAGGGCAAGAATCATAGAATCGTAGAACAGTAGAGTTGGGAGGGGCCATGAAGGCCATCAAGTCTAACCTGCTGCTGTTGCAGGACACCAAGGTACACCATCCCACTCAGAGGGCTGCCCAGTTTCCCCTTGAATGCCTCCAGTGTGGGAGAGCCCCCCACCTCTCCAGGCAGCTTAGCCCCACTGTCATATTGCTCTGACAGTGGGGAAGCTTTTCCTGATGTCCAGCCTTAATCTGGGTTGTCACAATGTGAATTGATTATTCTGCGTCCTACACTCTGGCATCAGCTAGAAGAGATCTTAACCTTCCTCTCTGTGACAGCCTTTGAGGTGCTTTTAGAGGGTTATCATGTCCCCCCTCAGTCTTCACTTCTCAAGGGTGAACATACCCAGGTCTCTCAGTCTCTCCTCACAGGGCAGTGTTTCCAACCCCTGGATCGTTTTCGTTGCCCTCCTCTGCACCCTTCTAATTTTCCTGCATCTTTCTGCATTTTCGGCACTCCGTGGGCTTGCTTGCAGGTCTGTACCACTTCAGCGTCACTCAGACATTTGCACATGGAAAGCCACGTGCCATTTTGCCTTCTGGCACACACTTGATGCACATTTTGAACTTGTTTTACCCAGGGTCAGCATGGTCCTGGAAAAGGTCACTCACAGGAAAAGATGCCCATACCGTCGTGCCTGAACGGGGACATTCTTGCTGGGCAAGCAGGCCTTGGCAGAGCGGCTTGCTGCATGGCCATCCGTGCTACAACCCTGGAAAGCAAGCAAAGACCCCAGATACAGAAGCGGATGCAGATCTGGGAGGACCTTAGCTTCCCATGGTCAAATTTCAGTGTGTGGTTGGTGTATGAACCGTACCTCTGGGGTCAATGCACCTGAGGAAGGCCTCCCGACGTTTGGGCCTTCAGCGCTCATCGTCCTCCTCTTGTCACCATCTCATCGTCCCCATCCCTTGGCTAAGTTGGCCACAGTGGACGGAGCATGTGGGCCAGAACCTCTGGGGAGGACCAGGTTGCCCATCCTTGCTCTAAGCACAGGCACACAAACAGCTCAGACCTTGCTCCAAAGCAGCAGAGAAGCGAAGCTAGAAAGACGACGCAGGAGCAGGCTTGAGGGACAGGAGTGGGGAACGTTCCCACCCGGCCCACTTTTTCCATAGGACGTTAACAGAGGCCGAGCACCAGGAGCAGAGCGAAGCGCTTGAGAGAAGGGAGGGCGACTAGGGTGAGGGTCCTCCCGGTTCCACCTCTGCAGCTTCCCCCACACCAGCACCCTTCTTGTTCCAAAGAGAGAAGGACTGGAAGAGGATGTGGTGTTGCTGTTCAGCCGCAAAGACGTGCCTGACTCTGCGACCCCATGGACAACATTCCTCCGGGCTCTCCTGTCCTCCACCTTCCCCCAGAGCCCACCCAACCCACACCCACCACCCCAGTGACCCCATCCAGCCACCTCAGCATCTGCCATCCCCCCCTCCTTTTCCCTTCAATCGTTTCCAGCATTTAAAAACTAGTTTCTTCGGAACTTTTCTTGCAGAGCTAGGCTCATAGCTGAGCTAAGCCAAGCGTAGCGCGGAGGATCTCGGCCGTCTCGGTCGAGAAGGCACCGCAGCAAACTGAGTATCCCTCGTATCGCTTTAACCTGAAGAGCAAACAGCTCCACATCTGCGAAGGCGGTGCTGGGGGGGGCAAAGTAAACAGACGTGGCATATGGGAGAAGCAGGGAGGCCTTGAGCCGTCTGGAGTGAGTGGCGGACGAGGCCCGGGATGCCCTTGACACGAACGGAGGATGTTCTAAGCAGGTCCCTGTTATGCAACCTCGGTCGGGATAGGGAAAGCCGTCCTGCTGCCAAGCCCGGGCCGCTGCCTTTGTGTAATGTGGGAAACGACGCTCCCTGCCAGAGCGTGTGCTTGGCAGCAAACCCAGGCCCGGGGGGACGAAAAACACGAGGTTCTGTGAAACCTCACGGGGGGATTTGTTACCTGAATATCTCAAATGGAATCGCTACAGAGCTTGGTCCTAAGACATGCTTGCAGTTTGTTTTAATGCGCAAAGGTGGCTCTAGAGGACCGTGCAGCCTCCCTTGGCCCGCCCTGGCCCCTGTTCACCGCCACAGGGTCTCCACGGGAGAGTTCCTACCGCGTGTGATTTGTATCTCCCATACCACCCTGAGAGCGTCCTACCCTTAAAGGCAGCCTAAAATTAATTCTAAATTCCATGAATTAAAAAACAGTGGTGTGGTAAAACTGAGGAACTTCGCTACTGCATTTGTCCTCTGTATCTTCCTTTCTTTCAAAAATAATTTAAAGTGATGCAATTTACACATCTTGGTCTGGTGATTAATTTTGGTATTCCTGATTTGGAGTCCATCAGTTCAGCCAGCAAGTCATCAAGTGCTGATGACACTCGGCCCTCAGGGTTCCTCATCTGTAAAATGGGAATTAGGGTGTTCCTGGCCCACAGGCTTGTCAGGAGAACAAACAAGCTATGCATAACTAAAGCTGGAAGGGTCTGGGACCAATTCCTTGGATGCATTACTAGTCTGTGAAAAGAAAGCAGTGAGGGTGAGGCAGCCTCATCATTTTGATACATAAGCTCAGAAGTGCTGGCGTTACTAGTTTCTTCCTAGTAGTAAATAGATTGTACTTTGCACATGCTCAGAGTCATGTGTATCTCAACTTATACAGGGCAGTGTTCTGGCATTGGAAATAGGTTCTGCCACTAATCCCTAGTGAACCTGCATTATTTGTGTTGATTACTTCTTACTGAAAAGAATTAAAAATATTATTATAGGGTTATTGCAGCTCTGGAACTTCCTTGGCTGCTGACATTTTGATCTGGCATTTCAAGTTAGATAGGCCATGTCAAAACCAAAAAATGGAGGTTGTTAAACATATTTAAAGATTGACACTTTTTGTTCAAGGAAAACATTGGAAACCAAGAGCATTTATATCAACCTTATAATTTATTTGCTCCACAGATTAGCATAAGCAATAAATTAATGCCAGCATTACTAAAGCATCAATGCAAAACATCTGCATAGCTGGTTGCCTGCTAAATTCACTGCAAGAGTTCTTAACGATGGCAAAAATAAAAAATTAAATTAAAAAATTGTATTCTGATGTGAAGGGAACTCGATGCCCCTGAGAGACTTCCACTTTTCTTTCAGTTCAGGAAGAAACTTCTTTTTAAAAAGAACAGGAACCACAAAACTTTTGTGCAATTAGGTTAAGCATCAGAGACGAGCCAGGGTTGCTTCACAGGGTCCCAGCAGAAAGTTCACTCCCTGGCGTGTGCGAAACACCCGGACGGTGCTGCATTTCTCCTGGTGGTGCATTTTCAGCCGACGCAAGCGGGCAGCCCCGCATCGTTTCCTAATCCTTTTCATCCCAGCAGACAAGAATGAGGCTTACGAAGGATTTACACATTCAATAAGCAAATGTTGGGAAACACTGTCAGTTAAGTAGAGGAAGAGGGCATTTTAGTCTCTCCTTGGCCTGCGCATCTGATCCTACAGCTCGTTCCTCTTCTCCACCCCGCAACTTGGGGCTGCTGTCTTTCCGACTCGGTGCAGCCAACTCCCTGGACTGCCTTGGCCTTTACAGTTTTGCAAGTCCGAGTCTGGTGCCACAAGCGGTCAGAGTTGACAGGTGCCAAGATGGGACCCGGCTCCCACAGCCGAGCACCCCTCGCCCTGGCAGGCTCAAAGCCCGCGTGCAGGCGGGGTGGCTCCGGTGCGACGCCAGGATGGGTCCGGCCAAAGGGTCGCGTTCCGTCCTCCCGTGCCGCCCGTCCGTCGCTCCTCAGTGGACTTTGATGGAGTGCTTCCCAAACCTGAGGAACTGGAAGAGCTTCTCTCGCGTCCTCTGCTTCAAAGCCATGAGGGATCGCGCTTTCTCCTCCAGATCCTGGTCGGTGGCCAGGATGATTCTGGCCCTCTCCTCCGCCTTCCTGTCGCCCGAGTTTTTGAAGAGCTTCGTGAGGGCCTCTTGATCCAGGCTCTCGAAGATGTTGGCCACCGCTTTCTTGCGCAGGGCCGTGTCGAAGCGATAGCCGTGGACGGATGGGCTCACCCGCAAAGAGGTCGACATGGTGGCAGGCTGCAGGGATTCCTCGCCGCTTTCGGCCTTGTCCGATGCCGCAGGATTTGCCTGCGAGTGTGTCAGCCGAGGGCCCACAGAGAACTCCCTGCTGCCGCATGGCTATTTAAAGGCAATTCTGGGCAAAAGCCTCCGGCTCCAGTTACAGCAGTGACATCAGACCGAGCTGAACACGCCCGATAACCGCAGACCAGTTTAACAATTACATTGCCAGGATCTTGCCAAGAAAAGAGACAGAGGAGGAATGTTTGTGCTTCTTCAAATATTAGTGTTTGTTGAGGTGTGTGTATTTAACAAAGTTGTTCCATGTGGAGGCACCAAAGCAAAGTAGCTTAGGGGGTTCACAAAGCGATATCAACATAAAAGTCTCGGGGGCCAAGTTTGAAATCAACTCTGTTTTGAATTTTGGCATGCCAAGTATATTCACACGATGCCATTAAAATTCAGAGCAGAAGCTCCAGCCTGGCTCATTCCTGAGTATGTGGATTCCTGCTCTCTCCAATTTTTGTTTTCCACTACAGTTTGTTTGCGTAAAATTGGCATAAAGGTTTGCACTTAGCTACACATTGAAATACTCATTTTAAAGTGCAGTTGTAACCTATTCTCTTATCAAAGTAAACATGTATAAAATACCCACTAGACTTTTTTAAAACTGCGTCAGAATATCCCGGAAGTGCAAAAGCCAGGATAACAAAATTCCAGCCAGAACATTCATCTCGAAATTGTGAATTGGGTCAGTTCATAGCAGAATCTGCACAGAGAGGATTCCTCAAGCTATTTCAGCTAAAATCCAGGGGAATGCATTCCATTTGCAGTGCAGCTATCTTCTAGCTCCACAACTGCAAAACACTTTAAAGGAATTCCCATCTTTGGTGCCATAGATTTCCTTCCTGTTAACTTAAAAAAATACCTATCTTTTTAAGAGTTCTTTGGACTATTTCTCATGCTTGTTAGAGCAAACTATGCTGTGCAACTTGAATATAAATCCTAACAGTCCTGATGACAAAATATAATTTCACGTATTGTGAATGGCGAACACATTCCAAAACCTTGTAAAAGCAAAGAGCAAAAGGTGAGCAATCCCACTTCCACAGTGATCTGTAGGGACGAGTTCCGCTGGGGATGCACAGAAAAGGTTCCACCAATTTGGGAGCAAGGACTCTCTAGACAAAGATGGACCACTGATCTAATCCTCCTCTGTTCCGACGGGCTTGGAACTCCAAAACGGGGCAGCCCAATAAATAGCAACCACCTGAAGTGCTGCACGTGAGACGCCTACTCTGCCCCCCTTGTCTTGGCTTCCTGAGCTCAGTTCAAGGTGCCAGTTTTGATCTGCAAGGCCTTACAAGGCTTTGGACTGCAATACCTGATGGAGCACCTCTCCCAGTATGAATCTGACGGGGCCTTCCTGGTGGTGCCCCCCCAACCCTGCTCATGAAATCCTCTCCCTAGTAAGGCCCACCCAGAAAAACACGCTTATCTTTTTGGCACCACATTCAGACTTTCCTCTTTCCAGGCATTTGGCAGCATAGGAAGGTATTGAATGAGTTCTGAAGTTTATGGCTACTGAGTGTTGTACCATCCTTTTATGTCTGTGCCTGCAAATTGTTTCCCATTCTGATAGGACACTGTATTTTTAAGATTTCGATCTTGGTAAACTGCCTAGAGAGCTTCTGGCTATTGGGGAGCATGAAGAAGGGGGATGTTGGGAGCTGTAGTCCAGGTGCCTGGTCGGGAGGACTGGTTTAGAAGACTAGGACTTTGCCATCTTTCGGTCCATATCTCAGGAGTCTACCAAAGCCCTGACTTAAGGATCAGAGGCGACGTATTCTGAGCGAGACTCGGGGGGGGGGGGGGGGCTTCTCTGCTGACTCAGCACTCCCAAATGCGCTGTGCTCACCTTTGCCCCATGGAGCATGCGAGTGCTTTAAGTAGCTCAGACGCCGCGGTGGCTGGCTCTGCCGCACAGACACGGGAGGGACCAGGCCTGCCGCGGGATGGACACGCCGGACCGACGGACGACCGCTGCAGCCAAGACATGTGTCTGCTTCCGGGCATTCACATTCTGACGCGAGCAGGGGGCTGCTAACAATGACCCTCAGCTGTCACACTCCCTGTCTGTCTCCGTGCAGGGTGACTTCCTCCGAGACCTGCAATTGTCCTTTCGGATCAGCTTTTTAGCTCACATCTGCCCTTTTCCTAGCCACTGCCCAAATCCCACATGACTGGAGGGGTTCATTCTTTCTGCCAGTCTTTCCTTCTTTCTGAAGGACTGAGGTTCATTGGCAGAACCCCTGTTTTCGACGCAGAAGGTCCCAGCTTCGGTGAAAGGCTGGGAAAGCAACTCCCCTGAACTCCTGGGAAGCTGCTGGCAGCCACTGGAGACAAAACTGGGAGAGCTGGATTCACCGTTTCGTTCAGAGTAAAGTGCATCTGTACCAAATGGCTAGGAAGGGCGGTGGCTGGATGGGAGATAGTCTTTGCCAATACACAATCCTGACACTGAGGGCTGACTCTCCTCTCAGCTTTTGCAGAGGCATCTCATCTGGCGTTCAAGCAAGGCATTCAGGAGGCTGCTGCACTGCTGCCTATCGGGGGTTCTTTCCCCCAGAGCCCTGCATTGAGCAGGGAGGTGGGCTTGATGACCTACTAGGCCCCTGCTAAATCAACCATTCTACAGTTCTGTGATTCCATGATCGTTAGTTTCCTGAGCTATGCAGAGGAACCTGTCTGAAGTCCCATCAGTCTTCCCAAATCTCTTCTGACTTCACTCCAAACTCTCATCATCTGAGCTGGATCCACCATGTTGGCATGACTCTATTTTCCTGGGCAAGTTCGAAATGCAAACACTGTGTTTTGTTTTGCTTTTAAATCATATGATATTGCACCTTCCCGAGGCAGCAGGTCACTGCATAGCAGCTGCTGGGGGCACAAGTGGTGGTCAGGTGTCCTGTTTTACAGAGGACAGTCCTCTAGTGGAAGGCTGTTCCAGTCCCAAATCCCATTTAATGACCCCTAAGAAGAGCAACATGGCTGAGCCTGGCAGCATACAGCCCCTGGACAATGGATGGAGCTGGTGCACAGCGCATCCGGCCTCCCCACTAGACAGATTTCTCTCCCTAAATGAAAGCCGTGCTTTCTGAGAGTGCCCTCTTTGCATATGAATCAGAGCACGAAGGTCTCACACAACGTTCTGTTCGCTCTCGCCCTTTTCGGCAAGGTGCACCCAGCCCTCCTCTGCCCCAGTTGGCCCTGAGCACGACGCACAGCCGCTGGTTATCAGTGCATCGCCACCCATCCGGGCCTGGCGCCGCTCCTGGGATTGGCCCTGACTAATGCCGGGAGGTGCTGGAAAGGGCGGAGAACGCAGCACCTGGCATGTTGAGCACCAGTAGGTACTGGGAGGGGAACGTAGGAAGATTAAGGCAGGAGGCAAGCTGGGCCATGCATCCCGGTGACATGGTTGCATTTTACTTCCAAATATGCTCGCAGTCCCCCTTCTGGCCCACTCACATTGGCTGCCTGCATGGTTCCAAGCCCATGTGAGGGGCTGGTTTTAAGCTATAAAACCCTACCTGGCCTGAGCCCACAATCCCTGCCTCAAATACCTGGCAGAGCATCTCTCCAAACCAGCTCAGGGGCCTGCCTCTCCTTGTACCTCCAAGGGAGGTTCAGTCAGGGGCTACGAGGAGAAGGACCTTTCCATGGTGGCCCCACAATTATATGGAACAAGTTCCTCACAGAGGTTCACCTGGCACCAACCTTAATCTCATTTTGGCACCAGGTTGAGACTCTAGCACAGGGCATTTAGTTAGTTCACTGGGGCTTTCTTAGCTGCTTAAACGAGATTTATTCTCTATGTGCTATTGGAACTGTTTACATGTGTTTTAAATAGGGTTTAAATTTTTTGTGAGTCAATCTTAATGGAAAGGAAAGGCTTATAATAGAGAGAGATCTAATGATGCTAGATAGGGAAGGGAGGCTGACAGCCACACAACACGGCTTCCACAAAAACAGGTCCTGCCAGACAAACCTTGTGGAATTCTAGGACAAGGTTTCGCGATGGCTAGATGGAGGGGATGCAGTGGATGTGGTATACCTGGATTTCAGCAAGGCCTTTGACAAAGTGCCCCATGATATCCTGGTGGAGAAACTGAGGAGCTTTGGTGTATCCCAAAACTCCTCAGTTTCTCCACCAGGATATC